CTAAGAACTTTGTAAACAAAAGTGTTGCTATAAACATTGTGTTGGAATCATATATTTTTTTTAATTAATAACTAGCTTCATGCTGGCAATGTTATTTTAATTATACTATAGTGTGGTCGCCATGGGAATAATTCAATAAACAAAGTAACAAAATAATACAATATAATGTAGACATATAGGTATGTCTGTAAAGAGGAATTCATCAATAATACTAATGGGTACGGATTTCCGAACACGAGGTCGGGGGTTCGAATCCCGCCATTCGACTATTGTCGTAGACCATATCCTAGCACAAGCCTAGAGCTTACTTGGAATGGTAAAAGAAATATTAGTAAATTTCCAAATAAAATCTGCTAATATTTAAAAAAAAAGAAGGTTACGTACTGATTAGGTAGTGTATGAAATTGTATATACAAAAACAAATAAATAGGAAGAGATAAACCACAAAAATACAAGCAATTCATCTCAACTTAAATATTAAGCAACGTTGCTAAGGGTACAGAGTTCAGTTAACCGGGTTAAATTTAGATGTCGGAATGGTACTCAACAATAGATCGGTTTAAATTTGAATCAGTACAATGTTCGGCGAAAAATTGTTGAGAGTAATGTCCCAATTAGGTGACAGATAACAAGTCTTTTGGATTCAAATATTGTTGGAAATATTTCCAAACCACATGTTCAATTGATTTCTAAGATCGCGTTTTAATAAAACCAATCCGGTAATAATAACAAAGTAACAGGCCGAGACGAGGTTCCTGAGGGAGCCTTCTAGCTTAGTTAATCTTAAACGAGGTTTAGGCTAAGTGCCATCTGCGATCGGCTACCACAAGCCCGGTGAAGCTGAAAATGCCTCCTCAAAGCAAACAGTGGCAATGCAGTCATAAAAAAAAAAACAAATAATAAAATCCCGTTTTAAGATAGGAAAAAAAAAACGAGATATTTTGGATAACATTGTTTCGAAGTTTATCATAACTAAATAACAACGAAATCACCTGTATATATAAAAATCAATTGTTGTTCATTAGTCTTGCTAAAACTCGAGAACGGATTTATCTTATCTTGGTCTTGAAATGTTCGTGGAGGTTTTAAAAGGTAATAGAAATCCGAATAATTGCCGGGAAAACGCTTTAGGAATCTTTTTCTAAACACGCGCGGGCGAAGTCGCGGACGACAGCCAGTTTTAGGAGTCGTATATTAGGTAAAAGCTATTATACTTATTGTCGTGTATACAAATTTTTGTCGTTAATAGGAAATTATTAAATACAGATAACACGTGTATAAGTTAATGTTAAGCTATACAAACATTAGTACATCAACCTTCACATTTTTTCCACTTCCTTATGTATATTTTAATTAAAAAATATCTTACGTAATTTGATATAAAAACTTTTTTCTAAAAACTACACGTTTTTTGCATTGAATATGGCAATATGATGAAACAATCGTTAATTTATATTCGCAAAAAAACTCGCAAAAGGAACATAAGAAATGGCATGTATTAAAAGAGAACAAAAATAATTGCACATTTATCAGCGGGACAAAATAAATAAAACATAATATTGCATTAATTAAATATAATATAGTCTTACAATTTTCGTATTTGGGTCACATTTAAATGATAAATAAACTTTTACTTTCTTATCAATGTAAATTACTGTTTTAATTGCGATAAGAAACAAAAAAATACTAGCCATCTCCCGCGACTCCATCCGCGAGGGATTAAAAAAAACTTAATTAGTGGCCTATATGTTCTACACGAGTGGAAGGTGACAGTACTCTATTCTGTTTGAAACTTAGGTTGTTTATCATAACCTTGAAGTTTTACAAAACGTGACATCTCTTTCATTCCTTCTCTAAAGATAGAGATAACAATAAGAGTTTACAAAGAACTTCCTCTTTATTGAAGTCAGTCAGAAAATCAAACTTAACAATACGTGCAAAAATGGCGACTGTTTTAGCGCAAAGCAATGAGGTCATTTCGTCTCTAGATGTAGGAAACTAGGACATTTCGTCGATACATGTTTTTGTTTCTACGCCTTCTAGATAATAACAAACATTAAAATGAACAATTCTCTTCTGCTTATTATCTTACTATGCAAATGTTTAAACAATTATTTTAGTTTAGACGAAACACATCCATGTTAAAGACGTAAGGCGTTATCATATTATGCGATATATAACAAAAAATAAACGACTGTATCATTTGATTGCGTTGACTTATAACTTTGATTTTTTCACAGGACCCAGGGACATCAGAACTGAGTATTTTGATATAAATTCCAACTTGATACCTTCACGCGTTCATAAGAAAAAGAGTCTTGACAGACGGACGGAAAACAAAGTGATAAGTAAGTAAGTGTTTCCGTTTTTTTTTTTTCGAGATACGGAACTCTAAAAATGTATAAAATGCGAAGCGTAATCGCATATAAACCTACAAACGTTATTGTCTACAATCTTCTCATTCAATAGGCGTAATGAATATAAAAATTCTGCAAGAGTAAACAAACTAAATCGATGTGAAGGCTTAAAATTTTAACACATGAATAGTTATCTGGGTCAAATTTAAACGAAACGGGGCGAAGCGAATGCAGCCGTAGTAGTAACTACTTTACAGGTCATTATAACTTGTTCCATTCCAAAGCAAACATAGACAAACTGCACATCTTCCTAAAACTCGTCAAATTTCTGGTATAAACCCTTTTTCTCGCATTATAAGTTTACCTTCCATAGTTGTAAAGCATCAATTTACTTTTACTCATTTTTTCTAATAAAATAAAAGAAAATAATAATAGTAATGGCCAACATGTATTATGTTCCATGACTTCGTCCGCACGTTATTAAAAAAAAAATTAAAAGTCTATGCTTTCTTCCAGAATATGCTCTATATCTATGGTAAATTTCATCGAGATTTGTTCACCGTTTTCAGATAACCTCTAACAAACATCCCCATACATCTAAACATTCGCATTTATAACATTAGTAAAATATTTATTTCTTATGGACATAACGCTAAATAAAGGCAAACGTTTGTCCAGAGAGCTACAAAAGAGAAAGGCGATAATGTGCGCTATCTAACGAGGCATTTGCTAGAAATTGCAATTCTGAATGCATTAAGTTGCATTTGACGAGCAAATTGCATGAAATTTTTAAAATAATATGCAATTTACTACTCATTTTACGGATGATACAAAGGTTTAAAAGGAACAAATAAACAAAATTATTACGTTATCATGTTCATATTTTATAATTAATCTTAATACTGACAAAACTTTTCCCGCGTAGTACGAAATGTACATCAACACAGTTGCTATGAGTTACTATGGCATCTTCTACTATCAATATTAAAATAAACTATTTGATAATCAATATTACTAATAATATAAATGCGAATGTTTCTATTAATACATGTTTCTTATAACTCCAGAATGCATTGGATCTCGCTGAAATTTCGCCTTGATGTTTTTTCTAATTCAACGAGGACAGCGTCGCGAGCGACAGCATATAATATGTGTTAAAATATATTATTAGTTAATTTACCTAACTAAAAAGTTGCTAACCGATCTATTGAATAGAATTATGCTTTTATTATTTTGATTTAACTGACAAATTAAGTAAACATTTGAAAGAGTATGCATACAATACTGCAAGTTCTAGTAATTCTTCTAGAATAAGTAAAAAAGTGGAATAGAAACAGTGCAAGTCCCTTCATTAACAATGTCTTTAGCAAGAAATAGGTAAAGGTACTAACGTGTAGGTGTTTTAGCACCAAGCATCTTTACTACGTTATTCGAACAAGACGCAATTGTGGTATTTCTCGCTCATTTTAATAAAAAAAACAACCGTTTACTTTGACTTTATTAGCTATATAAGGCGGTAAGAGACAAATTAAGTCGTCTTAACCCACTTTCCACTGCAGCCTTTTTGGAGCACGCGGGCTCACCTGTAGTTTCTACCTGATACACTCATCTACCCTAAATGGGTAAAAGCTCACGAGACAACACTGCTTTTATATTATAAAACATAATAACAATTATCTTAGAATAAAGTGCCTTCTATTGTGTATTCATTAATAGCTGTTGACTATGACTCCGTCCGCGCGGAATTAAAAAAAAAACTCGATACGTTCATCCAGACTATGGTCTACATCTGTGCAAAATTGCATCAAGACCCGTTGAGCCGTTCCGGAGATACCTTCAAACAAACATCTATCTATAATATTAGTAAGATTAAAACAATAGCAATTTAAATTCATCAATAATAATCTCAGTCAACTCCGGTCCCCTTGACCGATTTGTTTTTAAACAAAACATTTGTATCAATGACAATATTAAGAAACTTACGGCCAAGTGCCAGATCTTCGTCTACGATGAGCTCTTGGTTGTGGCTCCGGACAGTGCAATAATGCCTGCGGTATTAAACTCTTAGAAGATCGTCGTCTTGAGAATCTGTATTCCGGTCTTTCAGCTGTCTTTGCAATCTTTAGACTCGACAGCTCGCTCTCCGAGGAACACCATAACGACTCCATAGACAACATCGCGAGGTCTGTTACCACATCACTTGGATAATCGACACTTGTATCCTCGACGTACGAATTATACAACTCGCATGTCCGAAAGCGAATCTAATTTCTCAACACTGTCCGTCCGGCAACCTTCTGTACCACGCGAAACTTTATTGCAAAATAAACACGGTTGTGTCGTACGAAATTGTTAATATAGAAGCTAAGGAGTTGCTCGTTTGATGTTTAAAAAAAGTATACGAGTGCGCCGCCTGGTGTATACGTCCGAACACGACCAGAGCGACTGTGCAACTGATATCAAACGCGTTCGCTTCAACACACGTCGCGTTTAACGTTACCACGAAATTGCAAACAAAAAACTGCCGCGACTTTATCAAACAAATTGAGCGATATCTTTATGTACTTTACATATTGACTAGTCGACGATATCGTTCTTTTTAATTTGAATATATACTGGTTATCTGAGTACTACAATTTATAAACTTTGCACGGTACATTATCAGCACGTGTCCGGAGTATGAACAATGATATTTATATTACACAATATTATTATTTTAATTTTATATATTTATTTTTATGTCTGGCTTGTAGATGGATAGACGCCATCTTGCTCGAAAAAAAAAACTTATTCATTTGTTATAAAGCTAACATCTGAACTTGTTTAGTAAGTCTGTTTATCGTAGGTTTACACAGCACAAGAAGAAATAAATCAATGTTTTCAATAAGCACGAGAAAGACGCCCAAATGTGTTGGCAGTGGTATCGTACGGTTATCATGCGATGACGCATTCAGTCATTATAACTGTGAATATTAAAATTACTAAAGTTATTATAAATTAATGGTTAACAAATTATAGTTATTAAAATTCGATTAACATATTTAGTGGAATCAAAGTAACCGTGTTACAATGTAAACTCAAATATAGTTTATTTCAAATATTTTGACAGTCCAAAGTAATCGTCGCGCTGCGCAGTCACTCCCGCATCGCGCTATACCTAAAATTATGTTTTGCGCAGTGACCCTCACGAAGTTAAGAGCCGCTAAGATATCTGACTACTGCTGTAGAAGCTTGTCTACAACTAAAATATTATTAGAGAACTGTGTCATGATATCTATTAAACTGTTATAACCTTAGATCGTTTAACTAAGCAACTTTTTATAATTATAAAATCAAATAAATAAATATTTACATAATCTGTGAATAAGATCGGGTAGACAAAACGTTTTACCTATGAATTTTTAGACATTATTAGTTTGAATCCTTTTGGCGCGAATGGCGCGCTTTCGTTACCAAGTCGGAATGGTTTGTGACAAACGTTGATATTTTAGTAAGGCTAGTGTTGCGCAGATACACCGGCAGTGTCGGATTATCTTCCTAACAGAATATTATTAAAAGAGTTTAATGATTTATGTTTGTTTGTATTATGTTAAAAAAGATTAAGGATAGCAGTCGCCGGTTCAAAACTATTTTTTTGATACTCAATATTACTTACTGTTAATGTAACTAAAAAAAAAAGTATGAAAATTTGTAAAACTATTATAATTATCTTCAGCAATAATGGCTTTATAATAATATTATTATATGTTAAAAAAAAAACTAAACCGATTTTAAATGTTTTACTAATAGAGAGTAAGCTTTATTTTTTGTCTATCTTTTTTTACCAGACGACTGAATAAATTTCTTTGGATTATCATAGTACACTTAAGTTGATTACGGACTCGTACTTGGAAATAGTTGACGGTGCTCTACAAAGTTCTTCCGTCCATTAACAACTCTAGGATATTAGCATTTTCAATACTCGACAATCTTGTTATGAATCACAAAACCAGTTACCATCGGAATCTGTCCTAGCAAATATTTGTTCTAGTTATTTTCGACTTTAAAAACATTTTAGTTTACTCTATCATCATCCCAAATCTAAGTAACAATTAGTGATAATTTCAAATATTCTTTAATTATTTGCTTTTGAATATGAATGCTACAAAAAAGTAATAAAAACTTATTCTGAAGTGAATGGTCATAATTAGGTTAATGAAAGTTGTGCCGCCTTCTGATTACAAGTCACGCGATATCTCGCTGAAAACTGAATCTAATTCAGTTTGTTCTAAATCCACTTTAGTGAAAGTAACATCTTGCTCATGGACCGCAAACAAATGAAATGATTTTTACAGATTCAGTAGCAAATTTTATAAAATATATTATAATTTATAAATTATTCAAAATATGGTTTTATTATAGAATCCTTTAAATCCATGCATTTTTCTCTCAGAAACACATACACCCACGAACATATACATCCACTCGTACATACATAAACACGCTCAAATATTTACATGCAGTATTAAACTATTTTAATTATAATTCTTTCTCTTTTTTTGTAATTCTTAAGTAAGGCAAGCAATCTCACAATGTAACTAACATATTACTTATACTATAGCACTAAGACGAAAGAGACCTGGTTCCTATAATACGGGTCTAGAACCTAGTTTAGGAATCAGGCGTACTATTACTATGTAATTTTATCATAATTTTTGTTGCCTAAATAAACGATTTTTATTATTATTATTTATTATCCAGTTATAACTGGCTGAACTTATCGTCATATATCTCATTCTCTTTACAGAAAAAAAAACAGAGGAAGCAATATTTTCATCGTTATAGTTAAGTTTAATGAAAGAGAAAAACTTTCATTCATGATTTTCTATGAAATATTTCGTCTAAAACACAACGCTGTATTGTGAGATCAGCAAGATCTTTCTAAAGTAGCTTTGGTTAAGATTCTCCATACATTTATAATACTCCATACATTTATAATACTAAAATGGGATTATTTTTCACAGACAAAAAATGGATGAATACGAATTGTTTATCATAAATCTCAAACGATAACATTTCAGTCTACCGTGTACAATAACCTCGTAATCCAAAATGTGCGGGCATTATAATTGAATCGCAGACGGTGGGTCAAGAGTCATTGTCCTGCAACTGTTACGCACCGGGGTGTCTGACTCAGGCATGTGGTAGCTTTATTCCTAAAACTAATAAAGGCTAGTCCACACCGCTGAAACTACGCCACTTATTACTGCAGATGTGTGGTCGCTGTCAGTGTTGGTTTACTCCTAAAACTTTTAAAGTCTGAAACTAGATATAAGCTACTTATCTTGGCTTCGACTAATTTTCAAAATGCTCACATATACTTAATACTGTTTACCGGAAATAAAAACGTTTTTTTTCGGATGTTCACTAAAATGTATTAAATAAAGATATTGGCAGATGACTTAAACAGTGGAAGTGTAAAGCTAAAAACCAAAGATGATGTATTTATTATAAGTTATTATTATTTTAAAAGTAGTATTCTAAGCTACAATTGAAGATTGTCAAAATTGATAAAGTTTACTCAAACTACCTTTATAAACGCTTGCTTGTAACCTTTAAAGTAATAACAATGCGTGGGTTTAACAGCTCACGTACTTTATCCAGTAGTTCCGAAAAACAACTGTGCCTGAGGCCTCATAATTGTTGTTATCCAGTTCAATGTATATTTATAGTCAACCAACATCAAATACCCAAGTATTGACACACCCTTTTTAAGTTGTTTGTTACTGCCGTTTGCACTACTTCCTTACTGAGGCAATTTGTTTTAATGAATTTAGCTATTAATTTACTTTCTATTATATATCCTTTATAGAACTTCAGCTATCTATTGCGAATTATTGCATTTATCTAGTTTAGTTAGTTATTTTCGGAAACTTCTGTATCTCACTCGATGCATTAGTTGAATTATATCTTGACGCCTGTTTAATTACAACAAAATATTTATCTATCATATGTCATTGCTATACTAAAAATGACAGGCGCTTTTACAGCACAAATTTTAGCTTCATGGCCTTGCCTAGGGTTAAATTAGTACATCTAGATACAACATAATAAAATAAAAATAATTTATTCTAATTGCTAAATAATATTTATTTTGAAATGAAGTCGTAATTGTAAATGAATTTACCACATATCACCAACATAAAATCAAACTAAATAGTAATTAACCTGTAAACATTATAAATATATATTTATATTATTAATATATCTTAAATAAAAACCATTGAATCATTAAATGCATACAAACGCCGGACAATCTAGGTAGTTGATAAAAATTGGCTCTATAGAGAGCCGCTACAAAGATTTATTAAGCCATTTGAGTCAAAATAAAATATTTCTCCTACCACAAAACAACATAATCGTAGACAAATTCAATGTGTTGGTTTAGACTTAATATTGCAACAAGCTATAGCCAAATTTTTATTGTATTGCTACAAAATAATCTATCAGCAATAAAATTAATTCTATGTTAACATCATGATTTTTAATTTTTTATTTTTAATTTCATAGAAACTGGTCAGTACCAAATTCTAACTTATTCAGTCTTAGGTGTAGACATTAACATCTCTTTTGCCGAGTTCAATTTTCACTTTACGAGAAAACTAAAATTACACTTCAATATTCTTATATCACTATTGTATTGCTTATGATTTCATTTCTAATGAACATAGAAATTGTCTTAATTTTTGAACAAAGTCATCTTTTATATAAGATTTTATTTATTAAATCTTACAATAATAATTTGTTATATTTGTTCAAAACTGAAAAATACAGAAAATAAGCTAATTAAAACAATAATTAACCAAAAACCCTTGAAATATACTCAACAATTAAAATAAAATTAATATTTTGGCTTTATTTCCTATTTAACATTATCAGCTTTAGCAAAAATAGAAATTTTCAATTTAACTTTAGTTAAAAACTTGGTTTAGTTAGACATAAAAATGCAAGGATTATAGAAACCGTTATTTTAGTTTGGGTAATGGAGATATACTAACAATATTAGGTTTATCAAACTCATTTCCAACCTCTTCAATTGTAATAAGAAACTCACAACCTGTGTGTAAGAATTTCTGTAAACTAGTATCAAATTGTTTACTTTTTTCTATTGTACAATATATAGCAATCACAGGATTTAAAAAATAATATTCCGACATAGTCTTCATTCTTGACACATCTGCTTCAATAAGAAAACCCCAGTCAACTAATTGTACTAAAGCTTTTTCTTCCGACACTGTAATCTTTTGTATAATACCACGTTCATATCTTAAAAATTGTGGTACAAAAACACTTATAGCTTTGTTTTCTTTCATATCTTCCGGCCTTAAACTTTGTGCTTGCTTTGAATATGCCAGAAGATTATTTACATTATTAATATAGTCATAATATTCATCAACTTTTGCGACATAGAAATTATCAAGATCTTTTCCTGATTGTGTTCTTACATGTAGAACATTTCCTGGTTCTATCTTTGGATAA